TGTGCACACATAATACACACACATGCATGTACAACTATAAATCTCTATAGTTTCTCGACTATTTCCTTAAATTCACACCCTCATTTTTCTCTTTATCCGTCTGACAAGGTTCAAAGACAAATGTTTGTACTCTAGTACTTTGCACACGTACTTCCGATTTGAAAGAGGGTTTTCTGTCGATCGGTATAGTTCGCACTGTCATCAGAGTCGATCTTCTTCCTTTTTTTTTATCTTATGGTGCTCGTTTGCTAACAACCGCTGCTAGAAAGAGAAAAGCGGAGAATGCTCTCATTTACTGGAACAAGTTGAACTCCTGCGGCTCAGAACGTCGGCCGCATTCAACCCGGATAATTACACACACACACACACACACATTATTACATCGTCTTCATTATTTCTGTATTATTGTAGCTGTTAAGATTTTGAGACAATGAGTCGATTTGAGTGTGCGCATTTTTTGCTGTCATATGCAAAATATATATATAAGCAGCCAACTATACGATTCTTAGCTTTTTATCATCAGGAACAAAAATCATTAGGTTCCGTAAGTTTAAGCAATGATGGATCTTTTTTTCACGAGAAATTTAAAAAAGGAAAATAAAAGAAATAGCATTTTAAAAATAAATATTGATGAAACCGGAGACGTTAAATATTTCCTCTTAGGTGAAATTTTTCTCAGTACACAGTAAACTGGGAGGTCTTAATAAAAGGGGGACAGATATTATTTAAATGGTCAAAAAGTGCAAAATTAATAAAAGGACCGGTTTTAATAAATTTAGAGTGGTAGAAAATCTCGGAATAATATAAACGCTCCCTATTAGGCACCTACAAGAAATATTAAGATGAAATAAGATTTACTGGATAGAAAAATGTAGACATGTTTGAAAATGATTACAGAAACGGAGGGAAAAAAACGAAAGATTGAGAAAAGCAGGAAAAACAAGAAGACTGAGGAAAGGAAAGCGGGTGAAAAAGAGTTGTCAGAAAATGATGGAAAGAAAGAACTGAAAGAAAAGATTTTTTTTTTTTTAATAGTACGCGCCAGCCCTCTATCTCATAATATTACTCCGCACACCGCCCCACCCTCGACTAGAGGTTGGCTGGGACCAAGCCTGATTTTTGGGTCTCAGGCAATGCTTTGTGACTCTCGCAACCTTATCATTTACTTTTTTTTAATACCTACTTTTATATACGTTACAAATTAAGCTAAGCACAACTGACTATTAGAGGAGGAAAAATTCTCGCGGATTTTGACGTAATTCTGTGCTTTAATTTTTTTTTTTTTTTTTCGGGGCAGGGGTCCAAATCCGTGATATTTTTCCTTTTTTTTTGCTCATGCAAATTTGTTTCGTAAAAACACTAAAATTCACTATATCTATTCATAATCAATAAGTTAAAATTTTACAATTTTTTTTACAAAAAAAATCAAGTTGATGTTAAAAATTGTCACAAAATATTGTTGATTTTATTTCAAATGAAATGATCCACTACATCATGTATTTATTTTCAATTTTTCTTGTTGAATTTTTCACCTGTATTACATAGAATTCATTAATGTTCATAATTAGATTATAAGTTTGCTATTTTGTATGAATACTATCTTATGAAAATTGAGATTTATTAGAGTGGGGGTCCTGCATCATCAAATTCGCTTGGGAAAAAAACCCTTGCACCGGCCTTGATAAGACAAATAGTTAAAAAATGAAAAAACAAAAAAAAAAAAAACCCAAAACGACAGAATCGTAGGGAATAAATAAAAATGAGCCACACCGAGGAATAACAGAATACACTTGTACATAGTTATCACTGTATAATGTATTCAGTCTTCACTGAGCGCTCCATACTTGTTGAGTTGTGCCCAACTAAGATAATCTTAGTAAAAATAAGTTTTTTTTTTTTGTATGGTAATAGATAGTGAGCTCCCTAAATTAAACTATTCTTCTCTATAATGAATTCTGTTCTCACTCAAGGGTTTCGTTTGTAGAAGCTTTCTGCCATTCAAAGTTAAAAATATAAGCCTCTCCTCACTGTAGTAGAATATTTAGTCAGTTAAGTTTAATAAATAACAAAAACACCAGCAAGAACTAAGAATGACAAAAAGAAAAAGAATGAACAAAAAATATTTAACCGAGGACAAGGAAAGTGAAATGACGAAACATGTGATGACAGACATGGAACAGAAAAAATGTCATAAAAAGTAAAAAAAAAAAAATTTTAAAAGAATGCTTAGGTAAATATAAGATGAAAATCAATAAAAAAAAAAAAAAGATTAATAGAAAAAATTGACTAAAGGAAGTTAATGGGGAAAAATTGAAAAGCAATAAGAAAAAATGAAAGAAAGGGAATCTGAACATGGAGAAATTAGAAGAAGGGTAGACGTCAGAGTGGGAAGAAAAGCATGGCGGGAAGGAAAAACGCTTCACGCGAGATGAAAATGAGTTATGAAAAACAAACAGGACCTAAAAATGGAGTTAATTAAAAAAAATAATAATGAGATTAAGGTGTTTGTGAAGTCACCAGATATTTTAAATGTTTCCTTCACTTATATTAGGTTGGTGCAAAAATAATGACGTAATAAAACATTATTGCGTCATTATTTTTGCCCCAACCTAATATGTATGTATGTATGTATGTATGTATGTATGTGTGTGTGTGTATAATATATAAACATATATATATATATATATGTATAACACACACACACACATATATATATATATATATATATATATATATATATGGGCTACTGAAATCTTTTTGATTTAGTCATAACAAAAAAATCTGCCCAAATCCTGAATACTTTATTAGACGAACACAAAACCTTTAAGGAAACTGGTTTATATGGTAAACCAAAATATAGAGTAAATGGGAATAATTCACAAACACATACACACAAATATATATGGGGGAGAGAGAAATAAGCATAAGAGAAAATGAAAGAAAAATAATCCCTGGCAAACTACATGCACGAAGTAAATATTGACAAGAGCAGTCTCACCATTCTCTCTCTTTCTTTCTCTCTCACTCACTCACATACTTTTATATGAAATATATACACTTTTAAGTTATACTATATTTATGGGTAAAAGTGCTCATTAACTGGGATAGAACGTATGTAAATATAAAAGTGGACACTGATGTCAACACTGCGAAGTGACAATCGGTTTTATATTTGAAAGCAGTCTTCAGACACACACACACACACACACACACACATATATATATATATATATATATATATATATATAAGCATTACAAAATTAATTAAATATTGCTGGGATTTCTTGATAGTTAAAACTATACGTATTTATTAGAACAGTTTTTTGTGTATAATGACAAGTATAAATACATGAATAGTTGACTCATAAGCCACTACAATTGCAGTTGTAATTTTTGTACGTTCCTTACCTTCCAGTCTTGTGTACTCATAACCCATTTTATATATATATATATATATATAGAGAGAGAGAGAGAGAGACGGGTGGGGCTGTTAAAAATAATTTTAAAATTGAATATTGTACTATTGATTTCTGTTTTGGCTGCTGGTTTATAATACTTGTGTATAATTTGATACATGTTTCATCGAACAAGATTGGCAACATCTTTGTGCTGTTTTTGTATGTTTTATTTTCTTGTATACATTCAAGTGTTTTCTTTTCTGAGCTTAATGCAAAAATAGTCAAAATGTTTGTTGATTCCAAGTGTTTTCAGTTAAACTTTTAGCTATTTTAAAATACGACTGCAGTTCTGTGCCTCTTCGACCTCGAAATGTGTCCCCGACTCTATTTTTTTTTTTTTTTTAATCTGCAAACTATTGAGCATCGGTCTGGTTTCGCTGATTTTTGATCGATTTTTGTTTTCTGATTGATTGGTTAGGCCCGGCTTATTTAGGCTTTTGCTTATTAGATCATGTTATATATATACATACATACACACACACACACACACACATATATATATATATATATATATATATATATATATATATATATATATATATTTGACAGGGATAGAGGACGTGTGTGAGAGAGAATGGGCGCGGGGAAGTTGTTGATCCAACCCCGTTCCTAAAATCTGATCCAATAACCAAACATCAGAAATGTTTCAGATTTTATTTGTTTGTCAATGTCTGTATATTTAGAAATATCTGAATCTATATATTGTGATGATAAAATATTTGTATACGTACGTACAGGCACAGCCCTCCCCATATATATATATATATATATATATATATATATATATATGTATGAAAAGTGTATATAAATAAATATATATATGTAATAATTTTTATATTATATATGCGGTACTTATTAGAAAGCGCTCAATATCAGAGATAGAGCTAACATATTTGGTTGGATAGATGTGAGTTTGTGACACTGGGTTTCACGCAGTTTGTCTGACGATCGCTAAAGCGTGAAACCCAGGGTCACAAACTCACATCTATCCAACCAAATATATATATATATATATATATAATCATCGTCTCATTTCATTGTTTATTTGGTCTAACGATTGCTCATATTCATTTTGCTTTTTGTGCAGGCCTTTGCCTTTATCCGTCCATCTCGTTTATTTATGTATCTGATTGTAATTATCAACAATCAGTCTCGCCTTTTTCGCGTCTGTAATTTCCACAACTACGTAAACTTTAAATTCACAATTTCTCTATCAATCAATCGATTGATTAGAAAGAGTCACATCAATTCGAGCAGAGAATAGAGTAATACAGTAATATGACATCGCTCGTGATTTTCTGGAACTCAAATGTTTTAGAGGTCATTTAGGACCAAACATCATTTTTGGAAGCATTCATTGAGAAACATTTTTAGCGAACATGATTATTTTTGTCCGCTCTTAGGAAAATAAGCACGAAACAATGAAATGGATTCTTTAGCAAAAAATGGCGGAAAATAAAGAAGAAATCAAAGAAAACAAACAGCAAAAAAAAAATTTTATAAAAGAAAAATGAAATAAATAAAATTTGGCTAAAAAAAAACGGAAATAGTTGGCAAGAAAGAAAAATATGGAAAAAGGGAATGAAGACAAAATTTGCCAAAAGAAATATGAAAAACGATAAAATTTGCCTATGAAAAAAAAAATAACGAAAAAGAAAAAAATGTCAAAAAAAAAAAAGTAAATTGCCTCCTAAAAAGAAAAAAATAAACCTTAGAAAAATTACCCTGCAAAAGAATCCCCCCAAAGGAAGAAAATTGCCCCCACCCAAAAAAAAAGGAAAGTAAATTGTCAAAGTAGAAGAAACAAAATTGCTAAAAGGAAAAAAGAGCGGAAAAATTAGTCGATAAAGGAAAATGAGATGAGGAAAAAGTTTAAGAAAGAAAGAAATGCAAAGCTTTGCAAAGAGAGAGAGAGAAAGAAAGAAATGCAAAGCTTGGCAGAGAGAAAGAAATGCAAAGCTTGGCAGAGAGAAAGAAATGCAAAGCTTGGCAGAGAGAAAGAAATGCAAAGCTTGGCAGAGAGAAAGAAATGCAAAGCTTGGCAGAGAGAAAGAAATGCAAAGCTTGGCAGAGAGAGAGAGAAAGAAATGCAAAGCTTGGCAAAGAGAGAGAGAGAGAAATGCAAAGCTTGAGAGAGAGAGAGAGAGAAATGCAAAGCTTGGCAAAGAGAGAGAGAAAGAAATGCAAAGCTTGGCAGAGAGAGAGAGAGAAATGCAAAGCTTGGCAAAGAGAGAGAGAGAGAGAGAAATGCAAAGCTTGGCAAAGAGAGAGAGAGAGAGAGAAATGCAAAGCTTGGCAAAGAGAGAGAGAGAAAAATGCAAAGCTTGGCAAAGAGAGAGAGAGAAAAATGCAAAGCTTGGCAAAGAGAGAGAGAGAGAGAGAGAGAGAAAATGCAAAGCTTGGCAAAGAGAGAGAGAGAAAATTGCCCCTAAAGAACCCCCTAGAAAAATTACCCCGCAAAAAAATTCCCTAAAAAAAAAAAAAGGAAGAAAATTATGCCTCAAAAAATAAAAGCAAATTGCCAAAGTAAAAGAAATAAAATTGCCAAAAAGGAAAGCAAATTTAGTCGACAAAAGAAAATAAGATGAGAATAAAGTTTAGGAAAGAAAGAATTCAAAGCTTGTCTAAGAAAGGAAGAATAAAATTTGTCAAAGAAAGAGTAAACTAAAACTTGATAAAGGAGAGAGAACGAAAACAACCCCAAATGAAAGAAAGAAGCGAAATAAATAAGAAGAAAACTTTGACAAGTAAAAAATGTGAATAATAATAATATATACCGGAAGAGTGTCTGGAAGGAGTGAGTAAATGAAAAAGAGAATAGTGTTTGATACAAGAGAAACTCAAAGATGGACGAAATAAAGGAGTGGAAAGGACGGAAAGTTATTTACATATCTTTAAATATTTACCCAGCTGAAAAAATATTCAGTATTCATGTCTATTTTACTTTTTTTTTTCCAGCATCTTGCATCATATTGATTGCCAAGTAATTTGAATATTGTCAAGGATCATTTGCATGCATAATTAGTTAGTGGAAGGGCACAAATGGTGCGTTCTTCGAAGCAAGAAACAGTCCTTTGGTGTTTTTAAGCAAAATACAGATACTATTCATCTCTGAGGTATTCTATTTGGATAACAACTCGGGCAAAAAGGCACAAACTATACTTATAAAGATAGTCTAAGCACAACTTAAGTAACACATCAGATGGAGGGGTTAAAAAGGATAGGAAGACTTTGATGCGCCAGTCTACGTGGGGTGGGCCAGCCAACATAAAAAACAACAAATCTGAAGTAGAAATTGTGATTTTTAGACTCATGACGACAGGCTGATCGATGTATTACACACTGTTTAAAATAAAAATGGTGCGTCTATTTCAAATACGAGTATCTTCTAAAAAAATAATGTTTGATGTAATATATATATTTATAAAATTATAATCCCACTGTGGAGGTAGAGTAATTTCTCATGCATAATCAGTCAGTTATGTCATGCGTGATACACGCTGAGGCAATCATGTTTTTTTCGATACATGACTGACGAGGCAGATTTTTCTCCCGCAGTAGGTTGCCATTTCTTTCTGCAGTAGAAGAGTTGTCATCCAAAGCTACAGAATCCAATCTGTCCTGCTATTTACCCATAGCTGGTGGGGGAGAAGATTCATACCTTTCCCAAGGGTATTAGCACGTAAGTTAATGTAATGCATTCGACTGGAATTCGAACTCGCCTCTCCGATTCCTCAATCCGAGCTGCTATCCATTACGCTATCGTCTATGAAATTCAGGAATAAATTTCTCGTTTATAATACGCGCTGACTTTTTAAATTTTGCAGCCGGCACATATAACCTAAATCTAACATTTGTTCGACGTTCGTGTCAATTAAAAATAAGAATTTATATAATTTACGTAGATAGTTTGACGCAAAGACGCAGACATGTTCATAAAAAACGAAGCCTACGGCGAAAATACACTCACACGAAAATAAACAAACTAGTGGTTGTTTATGTAAAGCGGCGTAAAACCAACTCATTAAAAACGAATGCACTGGACGGCTGCGAAGATGACATTCATGTTCAGAAGGGACAAGATGACTATGTGGACGACGGTGTTTACGACGATACTATAGGGGAGTTAATGGTGTTGGTTAGAAAACAATCAGAAGGGTTTTTGATGAAGGTTGCGTTTTTACATTAACACTCCATTTTAAATTTGTAAAGAAAACACAAAAATGAATGACGAGATATCGATGAAAATCAACAAGTAAACATCTATTTAAAACAAGCATATACATATAATTCTGTTAATAACAATAAAGATTAAGTCACACGAAGTGGTTTCCCTTGTATTGTGTGAAGAACAATGTATGTTGTAATAATGTCTTTTCTTTAAGTTTGCTGGTAGTTTAAGAATGTTTGATGTTTCAGTTTGAAAGCTGAAATATTTGTACAGAAGAATGATATAGTTCGAATAATTGACTTGGCTTGTAAAACAGACAGTACACTGTGCTGTGTGAGTGCAGTTTATATCTGTGTGTGTTTGTGAGTAGAAAATTGAATATACACGTACGTGGTTTAGGTTGTGAAAATTTATAATCTACTGAAGTTTTTTCTTTAATTTCTACTTTATATAGATGTAAGGTGGCTCCCAGAATGAGCGCGGGAAGGATATTAACGAAAGTGTCATTTAATGTGATTGGCCAAAAATCGACCAATCGTTGACTTTTTTTTCTATAGCTAGTTTGGTGAAACAAAAACACGAGAAATTTTTATGTTCTCGTGCGATGCGTAAATTGTCTGTACAGAAGGTATTGTTTATTTTCCGTCCAATTACTGGTGAGTAATTTGTAGGCGGGGTGTACGTACGCGTCCACTACAATACCATCGAAGAGGACAAAACATTTCTTGCGCTAACAACATAGATGAAGCTTCTATAAACGTCGGTATTTGACACAGGCCGCGGAGAAGCAGACTAAAATATGTTTTGTCAGTGAATACTTGTTCTTAAACAAATGCAGTATTTCTTTAGAAGCAAAGAAAAGAATACTAGATTGGTATGTGATATCCATCCTCTTGTGAGATCTTCCACAACAAACCAGCCTTACCTCTTTTTAGCAAATGCACTCTTCCTATCTGGTAAGTAACATCCTACTTTCATACAAATATAACAAGTATTCATTGGTCAATCACCTCCAATCTAGCTTGCTGATTGGTCAGTTCCGACCAATCAAACCGCCTGCACGCGACCAATCTGTTTTCCCGCTCATATGCTGGGATCCTATCACGTGGTACACGACCATTATATAAACCCAACACGTGTAAACTCCCTCGAGTTTTCTTTTCATTCATCTCTCTCGCACGTCTCATTCCTTGCTACCAAGTGCCAAGATATAACCTTCAAGAACTCCCGTCTTAACCATTGTGGTCAGACGTTAAACGCAAATACGAACTCTGAAATCACTTCTGAACTTTTACCAACTTTACAACTCACAATTCCAAACATTATTCTTCTAAATTACAGTTTAATATTACTTTCTTTTAATATGAACTCAGGTACAACAATTACCTAATCAAAGGGACACGACTCTGTCCTACCTTTTTAGTTCACATGCATGTATATAAAACATTAATAAATTCAACTGTTATGTTTTGAAATCATTCCGTTCAGTTTTGTATTTTATACTGTGCTATTTACGTCAAATATTAATTGCATTGCGTCCATGCATTGTCCTTAATCACACCTTTCCTAGCCAAAGTTAAATATTAGTAACTCAATCACTACAATAATGATGACCGCGACGTTCGTCGTTCGACGTTCACAACAACAATGGTAACATCATCGCTACACTCTTATACGACAATGAACGTTTGGCAACCCCCACCCGACCTCGAATGTAGAAAAATAGAGGAAACAGGAAAATGGTTCACCAGAATGATACTGAAAATCCCATGGACGGAGCAAGTAAAGAACAAGTCTTAAAGAAAATTGTAACCGTGAGAACACTCATACGCTGAATCGGTTAAAAACAGCTGGAATTCTTTGGACACATAACGAGGAATGGGGACTTCGAAATCTTAACCCCATGGAGCATGTTGAAGATAAGACAGATAAGGGAAGACCGCATGCTTGTTACCGGATGAGTTTGCGTGAATGGAGGGCAAAACAGTTTTTCCCCCTTAGCAAAGGGAGAAAACTGCCAAGAGAAACAGGAGATAGGCGATGACGACTCTCCCTGTGTCCTGAAAAGATGCGGCACATAGGAGTGTTAGATTAATGGTTTGGTTTGTTTTGTTTTTTTTACACTTTCGTAGTATTTTGAGTCAGGATGGTGGGGTCAACTATTTGACCATAGCTGGGAACCTAACAGGTGTTACCACCCCGAGTCAGGGTGAACCTAGGATCATCTACAATTAAGAGGTAGTTCCACGCTCCTCAAAACCTACTGATCAGAGGCCCTGCTGTTGGACGTAGTTTATCGTCATACCCAGGACGGTGTTATGTTAATGATTTAAAATCTTTTAACATCATTTTGGGCTATAGATATAATTTACTTTTGGTTACAGCTTCGTTTTCTTTTCAGCCATTCCGTTCCGTCTGTGAAATACGGTACTATTATATCATGGATATAATAATGCCCATAATGGGGGAATTGCAAAGGGAGAATAAACCTTTCTTCCATAGCTCTATCCCATTATACGTTTATTTTACCTGAACATGAGTTATATAACTCATAGTATCTAGTAAACCAGTTAAGAAAAATAAATTGATATTATAAAGAATGATTGGTATTTACGAGATTTGATATTCCATCGGAAGAGCATTGAAATATAGCATGTATCGGAATGTAATCAACACCCGGCAAAAATTGGTCGGGTCATTCTAATGCTTCATTAAGTAGGTGACTTCTTTTACTCGACTTTATCTTTACAAGTGTCAGATTAAACAAAACAATAAAGTATGTTACTGCCATGTCTGGGACTCAGCTGCTTAATCCTCACTTGTCTTTTACCTGATTTTGTAGACGACGAATAACGCTGTAAGCCAATTACTACACTATATTGTTCGGACTATCGTCCTCATCTTTGTTGGCATATTTATCACAACGTTTCGGCCGTTGTACGTTCCAGCCTTCTTCAGATGGTTGGAATTTCCAACTGAACCCTTTATTTTGCTCGCTGGGGTAGACTGTTCTAGTTCCACGTGCCATGTTTAATGGATGTCAGTTATCTCCTATTAAATCACCTCTCAAAGTTCTTCACCGCCTTGACCAGGTATTGAACTCACACTTTTTGGATCCTGTCACTGGATCTAACTAACGCCTTTATCCACTCTGCCATGTGTCCTTCAGTATGAATTTCTGGGACTAATACTTCAGCAACCATTTTTACCAGTGCTCATATTGAAATTTTTGCTGCTATCAGTGCATTTTTTTACAGAGCTCATGTTGCAATTTTCAATGTTATCTCTGGCACTCCTTATTACTGGTTTCCATATTGTATTCATTTCTATGCTTGGTCGGCTCAGGAGATTTTTGTGGCCTAGCATATGTCTTGATTCCTTAAGTTTACGAAATTTCCAATGATGTTCAATGATTTTAACCTGATTTCACAGAGGACGGTGATCTCCCTTTTCTCTCCAACCACCTGAAGAAGGCCGGAGCGTACAACGGCCGAATCTTTGTGATAAATATGGCAACAACGATGAGGACGATAGTTCGAACAATGTAAATAGTGTACTTATGCTTCATCTCAGACTAGGAATTGGCTGTCGATATTTCTATCACTCTTTCTATGCCAGATGCTCACATGAGCTCCGCTCTTTAGCTCCAGCAGTTCAAACTATTACATTTAGGACATGTTATGCTACTTCTCCAGAGTTGAATCACCTTCCTTTCCTTCTGTATTCCACATATAAGGATACATTTACACCTAGAGAGTTTTTCTCAAGAACTGCTACTTTGTGGAACACATTCCCGTGTATGAGTTTACCTGAACACTAGATTCGTAACCTCAAGTGTCAGTCCCCCATGTGTTTTCGTTTTCCCCATAATCTTCACTTTCTACCGCCTCCTCTATCTTTTATATCAAGCACCTTATTTATCATAACCATTTTAACATTTAATTTCTACTTTGAGCGGCTCTCGAGCCTTGTATTAGGAGAATTTTAGTATAAAAACTGTAGAGCAAATAAAAAATTCCGTTAAATATTCCCAGAAGGTTACCAAATTCGACATAAACCCGACGAAGGCTAGAAAGTGCAGGGGCTGAAATACTGTAA